GAGAGGAGTATGTGGGTCCAATAGTGTAAAATAGTCATTTTTCTTATCTCTCACATCCACGTCAGCTGACTATATAGCTAGTAATAGCTATTACCATTGGAGATGCCCTCATACGTATTAGAGTATCATCAATTGCCTTAATAGTTGTTAGTTGTTAATTAACTAACAGCTTAATAATAAAGTAGTGTTTAAATATAAAAAGTGACAATTTTGATAATTAACATAAAGTAATCAATAGGAATATGTCACGAATTTTCATTTTTTTTTGGTAATGTGGTGCTAGCGATTTTAATTTTATTGCATTTATATTAATAAAATATTTAAAATAAAATAATTAAAATTGATTTGATGTAAAAGTAGGAGATAGATATTGGAAGTGATAGTTAATTAAAATTATATGAATGAATAAATAGTGAATTAAAATTGATGTGATGTGTAAGAATAATTGATTAATATTATTTAATTATATTAATATTATTCAAGATAGTGAGACTGGGTCAAAGTAATTGAGTTAGATTTTGAGTATAGACTGAGTATGTATTGAGATTACAAACTAACACACCCAAAAGGTTTCTTGTCATGCCATGTGCATGCCATGTCTTGTTTAGCAACATGATTAGTAGTTGTTATTTGTGTGCAATTTTTAAAAAACGTGTCGATCAATGTTACTGCTAATACCAGATACTGATGGTCCAACCGATATAATAACTCTTACTTATTGTCTTTGCCAAAATACCAGGTTGTATTAACTTTATACCAAAAATATCGGCTAAAATATTGGACAATACTATTTTTTTAGTATTGTTATATTTTTATTACATTTTTTTTTTGTTTAATTTGAAAGTTCTACGCTTAATTTTTTACTACCAGCAGACAAAGATCTACCTCACACTCCTAGGTGGTCGCAGGTATTACTGCCTCGTATAAGAGGAAGGCTACGCCAATGGACGTAAAGGCAGTGCAATAGAGGCGACTCTGCTTGAGCTTGTCGGGCGTAGATGCTTCCAGAGCATGTTGACGACCTCAGCCTTGGAACAAGAGACGAGGTAGGCCGTCGACGATCACCAGAAACTCCATCGTGTCGATGTGGATGGATTTGGGGATGGTGGCGTGGATCAGTGCATCAAGGGTGTTGTACTTTATGGATTCGGCCGTCATTGACTAATCCTCCGTGTGGTGGAGTTGTGGCGATAGGTGAAGGTGTGGGGTGAAGGTGTAGCTCTGTCGGAGGGCGCCGGCGGAGATATGACGGTAAGGATGTACCTAGTCTGGCTACTCGACGGGGTGGGGGTGCAGGGTTCGGGCGAAGCATTGTACGTTGCTGTTGGTGGTTGTACCTTGGGGATAAGAATGAGGTATACCTTGAGAAAATATCCAATATATCTTTCATTAGTGTATAAGTGTATAATCTTGGCTACTTTTTTGCACTTGAATTATCAATCTTACGAGATTAATAACTCATTATTATTTATTTTAATGACAAAACATACTCACACCCATCCATATATATACATTTTGGTAGATAATAGATATACATATATACTTTATCAGTACTCAGTAGTACTAATTTTTATTTTTTTTAACCTCTTATCTCAATTATTATCTCGACTCCTCCCTGCAAGAGATATTATTATAAGAAAATAGTACAACATGACAAGCAAAACGTACAAACCCTACAGTGATGAGCCTATGAAAGTATTGCCGGCCCCCCTTTTCACCATGGCCTCGACCTCCCTCACGAAAACTTCCATGGCGTCCGCCGGCAGGCAGACGGGCACCACCACGCCCCTCTCCCCCCTCCCGTTTTTCATCGGTATGTAGAAGCTCGCCACCCCCGGGATTGCCCCCACGCCCCCCTTCGCCGCCCCGCCGTACGCCGCCGCGCCCCACCCGAAGTCCACCTCCTCGAACCCCGCCCGGCTCAGGTCCGACACTAGGTATGTCCTCACCACCGCGAAGTGAGGCCGGCCGCCGGACGCCATCAGGTCCGCCACCGACCTCATGTACTCCCCCGTCACGCCGGCCTTCGCCCCCCTCACCAGCTCCGCCGCGTACCCCAGCGGGCTCCCCGTCAGCCTCCCGGCGGCGGAGATCGCCACCGGGAAGGCGAACGCGTTGCCGTAGTAGCCGACGGGGAGCGGCGGGTCGAGCAGCCGGCGGGCGTCGACGATGCAGATGACCCTGACCTCCTCGTCGGGGTCCGGCGAGATGGCCGCCGTCCGGCACCGCCAGAGACAGGCGGTGAGGACCTCGAAGAAGGAGCAGCGGAGGCGGAGTTCCGGCGGGAGTCGGCCGCGGAGGGCGGCGATCTCGGCCGGTCCGAAGAAGAAGGAGCGGTGGGACATGTTGTCGAGGGGGACGAGGGTCCCCTTGGTGTCCGGGATGGACTCATACTCGCGGTGGATGTGGGTCACGCGCGGCGGGTCCCGTGCGCTGAGGAGGTGGCGGTCCCACACGGGTCGTACGGAGGGGACGTTGTTTCCACGCGCGAGCTCGGCGATTGCGGACATGAACTGGACGAGGCCGACGGCGTCGGCCATGGTGTGGTTGAGGCGGAGGGCGAAGATGAAGCCTCCGCATTTCAGGCGCGTGACCTGCACTCAGAATACAGTCAAATAGTCAAAAAAGAAAAAAAAAAAATATATGTAAATTAAATATTGTAAATTAGTGACCTGAATGAGAATCAACGGGCAACCAACCACCTCGCCGGAGCCCGGAACATCGTGCAGCAGCTCCTCGAGGCAGGGGAACGGCGGCTGAAGGCTGTCCCCGAACTCCGATAACGCCACGTCGGCATCGGCCTCGATGAACAAGATACCTTCGGCGTTGCACTCGACCACCAGCTTCCTGGCGGCGAACTCCCTCAGCCGCCCGGCCAACGGGTAGTAGTAGACGAGCGCCTCTGCCACCGCGGCCCGAATGACACGGGCCGGGTCTTTCCCTTCTGTGGACGGGTTTTTCCGGTAGAACTGTATGACCGGAATCTGGAAACGGAGGCCCTCTTGATCGTCAATGTCGGAAAGAGGCTTGAATTCGTGGGGCGTGGGCTTTGCCGGCGGGATCAGCTCTGGGGTTTTCCGGGTCACTTTGAAAGTTGGAGCCTTTTGTGATGAGGCCATTTGCTTGAGAGATTATATGGCAATTAGGTATTGAAATTCGAGAGACTTTTGTTTTGGTGAACTTGGTATTGAGTATTATTTATGTATTTTTTTTCTATGTTCTTTGTGAGAATAGGAAGCTACTATTTATAGAAGTTGAAGGAGTGTCCAATTCACTTTATTATTTGTCTATTGTGACTTAAAGACTTAGGTCAATTTAAATTTTAAAAATCCGTGTGATTTAAATTATTATTATTTTTTAAATATAATGTCCTAACTTAAAAATTGAATTCAAAAATGAATTAAATGAAAAATATTTTAAAAAATGA